GATATACAAATCCAGGTATCGGGATCGGATCGGAAGTGAAAAAATGTGGATCGGTGCATCTCTAAATATTACATTACATTACAATACATTTAATATTTATTTAAATTATATAATTTGGAAAAGTTTGGCGGGCTGGATTAAAAACCCGAACGGGCCACATCCGGCCCCCTGACCCTTATTTTGCCCCTGCCTGGACTAGTCTCTTGCACAGTAGCATCCTAGCTGTGAACGTCTTTTGTGCTTGACCTCCTTCAGGGACATTTGGTGTTGAACACCGACTGGTTATGCTGATAAAAGAAACACATTTCTGCTGTTACCTCCGAAACTGCCTGTTTAAATGTTATCACTGTGGCACAGGATTTTGTGGGCAGTTTTTTTTTTTTTTTTTTTACACAACAAACAGGATAACATTATTGCACTGGCAGTACGCAATACGCTTTAGTATTTAGTTGTATTTTGCTTTGATTTTACGATGTTTAAGTTAATATTTACACTAAACAATTACACTGAAATGAATTGCGGTTGTAGAGCTGCCACTCAGTCCACACCTATCGCTGGCGTTTAATGTGGTTTAATTGCCACTAAGGATCAAAAATTCCTGGATATCTTGTTAACTCTTGTTGAATGAATGAATGAATGAATGAATGAATGACGCACACAGAGATTCGCCGTTATGTCCTAATGCAGCCGTGTAGCGCCATCTTCAGCGAGGAGCACTGCCTCGACTATCGATGGCTAGCATCGGTGGCCTTTAACGGGTAACGATACTTTGAAAAAAAAAAAAAAAGCCAGTATCGACCTGATACCAATGCCTAGTATCGGTACTTACCCATTTCTAGTTCAAATGGTTTTTCAAAAGTGATTGGATCACAGCTGGCTTTTGGCCGAGGCCACAAACTGTAGGTGGTAGCCTGAAGTTTATTAGCCCGATTATTTGCAAAGGGCACTACAGTAAAATGGCCGAAGGCAACTCTTAAGCCTCTCATCACGCTCAAAATATCATTACAGGTAATGCGAAACATGAACCAGTTTCTTCAGAGACACCGATGTAATTTATTTACCTCAGCATTACTACCAGTAGTCACTCTGTGTCTGGTCAAACTCGAGAACTCGTGAGACTCCTTAATTCAGCAACATCTTAGCACCGGAGTAGCACCGGCTTGATGTAATGCAGCGGAAATGTTCAGGCAAGAACCAAGAACAGCAGTTTTGAGTAGAAAGTACTTCGGTCGAAAGTAAGTAGTAGACACCAATTAGGAGGCAAACGTAAAACTTGTATTATCCAGTACCCAGTTCTTGGATTTAAAAATGCTAACAACAAATCAAATCAAAGATGCTCATCCATATGTATGGAACCATGTTGTGCTGCTTTGCACTTGTAATGATATTTTGAGGATATTACGAGGTACAAAAGTCACAAAGATCTAACCGTGGGTTAACTTTTAAACATGTGAGGGAATAGAAGCAGAAAATATGCCCTTAAGCCAAAAAACAAAAAACAAAAAACAAAATATTGTTTAAATAAGTTAATTAGGCAAGATCGTGACATAACTGCTCCACACGAGGACAAAATGAAATGGCAGCCCCACCCTGACACTGGCTGTGTGTGCGCTTGTGTGTGTGTGTTGTCCCATTGGTGTATCCGGATCTAGAACTGAGCTACAGCCACCAGGTGTTTACTTTGTTGAACAAAGTAGTGCATTCATGTGCATTTGTGTGTGTGTGTGTCTTCCCGACTGCCCGGGGTTATTGTATCAAGGGCTTTTTCAAACCCCCCACTCTTACCTTCCCCCATTGCATATAAATAGGAAAGGTGTGCCAGTGCAGGTTACAGGTTAAGCTCATTTTTTGTCAACTAGCCTCACTCTCCTCTGGTGTCATTCCTCGGGCTGTGTTCTGTGTGCTCTTTTTCTATTATATTATTTGGATGGTAATGTTTCTCAGGGTAAGCCATACAAATCAGTTGTTTAGATCAACACTGGTCTGATCAGCAAGGCACTATAATGGCTGGAAAGACAAGACAAGTCAACAGTAAAGCCCAAATCTGCCCGGAGTGAAACTGACACCAGAACGGGTCTGCAGGCAGTTAAAGACTAAACTGTCCCGCTGGGTTGCAGCCAATAGCTGGGGGCTGAAAGGAGACTCCAATTTAACACTGCGTCAGAGCAAACTGTAAATGTATGTGCAGTGTAATGAGACAGAAAGGGAATTATTTGAAAATAAACTTTCTGCTTCTCATATCTATGCGATGTTTAGTGAAGACGTATATCTGTTCATAAAGGTTTAGTATGAATAAAGGCTGTTTTTCTTTTTTTTCTTTTTTTTCTTTCATTCGTTTCAACATCACAAAAAGGGAACTTTCGGTACATTCATAATTTAAATGTCACTCCGTGTATGAAGGTTTGCACAAATTCAAACACCTTTTAGTGCAGGATGTACATAAATGGATTTGGGCACCAATTCTGTGTTCGCAGAGCTCTAAAGTTGTTTGTCTTCTGGTTCCACGAAACTAATATTAAAAAGGACTGCAGTCACATGTATTGCATTAAACGTCACGCGTGAGTTTTCCCATGTCTCTCAAGTGACATCGATGTTCTCCAGGACGCCTTAACATCTGCTCCCAAGTCAAATATTTGAACAAACAGCAACGTTGACTCGTCACGCGCTCAAAACAACTCCGTGGCATTTTACCTACTGAGAGCAGGAACTACGTCTTTTGTTCTTCCCAACTGCTAATCTAATGCCCGACTGGAAATTTTGTGACAAAGGCTACATTAAAAAAAAAAAAAAAAAAATCTAAAGTTAATATTATTGAGTTAACAAAACCATAAAGTCATGTAACCACTGCAGTAAATATTTCATAAATGAAATGGAGTTTTCTGTGTATTCATGAGCTGATTAGATTTTCCTGACTGCTTAGGTTTCACAGGGTTAGAGTTCTAATTACAAAAACTCAGACTTTATTTCCTCTGGAGAATAAATGCGAGGGCAAACGGTGCAGAAGTCTAATTTCACAGATGTTAGACATTCTTATCTGGCAATACTGTATGTTCGCGATACCAGGCTTCAGAATAGAGTGGTTTCATTGGCCAAGGATGATGTGTCCCCAGAGAACTTCCCAGGCATCCTCCTTAGGCAGGCTGTCTCGTTGGGTACAAATGTACTAATCCACCACTACGTAGCTTTAATTAGTAGAAATCTAATATAGGATCTGCTAAAAATGGCTCCAATTGCTTGAACAAGCTCCCTAATCAAGACTTCATTTGTTCATTTGTGTTCACATGGAAAACAGCGGAGAGCGGCGTGAAGCGTCAGCTTACTTTGCAATGTGTAAAGTAAGCTGACGTTGTACACCGCACTTTGTACTGACTGTACTGTCAGTGTCTTCTAAACTACAATGAGAATAAGCAGCAGAAAGCAGTGAGTTAGCGGCGTCAGCAGTTTTATATCTTTTGGGAGGAGGGGGAAGAAATGTATTACTGCAGGATTTTATTGGATTTCCTCTACTGTGTTTTTGTGCAGAAATCACATAAATAATCATTCATAATGACGAATAGCCGTTCGTGGGGGTAAACTGAAATGTTAATGCCCCAGGAAAGTAAGTAAAGGTAACGCTCACGATCTTTCTAAAGTCCACAAAACGCAAACATTCACCAGCAACGGCTCCTCGGCTTTAACATATATTCTCCATATCTGCAATCGTTGTGTCGCCAAAATATAACCTGATACAACGGCGTAACAGTCTTTGTGTTAAGGCCCCTAACAGCACTGCCCTCTTCTGGGTTGGAGGTGAGCTTTATTTTGTTTAGTTGCACAGACCACAGATGACAGATTTGCATTATCATCACTGCAAACTGTGGCGTAAAAACAGGAAGCCATTGTATACAACAATTAAGTTCCTGGAAAAAAAAAAAGGTTTGTGGCGCTGAAAGGCCAAGAAACACCACTAATGGCAGTCGTTAAGACCAAACGAGATTGTATTCTGTTAAATGTAAAATGTAAAACCCTTTCTGATTGGCCTGTCAAAGTTCAGTTTATGTTTTAAGAAGGAAACACCTTGCCCGAAGGATGCAACGTTTTCATTCTGACTTGCAGGGAGGCTTTAGCCTAAATTGGTTCCGTGGTCACATATCTCAATATAGAACACACAAAATGATCTTCACCGTCATCAGGCAGAGTGACTAGGTTAAAAGACAAACAACAACCGTACAGCCGTGGTCACATATCTCAATATAGAACACGCAAAATGATCTTCACCGTCAGGCAGAGTGACTAGGTTAAAAAACAAACCACAACCGTACAGTGGTCGACATTTAAAATACAGAACTACTCAACAACAGCAACACCAGAAGTATCACTTCACTGTGACACTTCCATCATACATTTACCAATGTGTACATCATGTTTTTTGTTTTTTTTTTACACTTCATCCAAAAATAAAATACATTATTAGATAAGATGACAACACTTTGTCCATTGTTTTGGACAGAAAGTGTTCTTATAATTCTATTTTCCCAAGTTGTTTGCAAAAGCAGCACGGCAGAAAGAGAAAACTGCTGACAGTTCACTACTTTCTTTACTTTCTTACTTTAGCCACACTTACGATAGCTTAGCAAGTGCTACGCTATAAGTGTGTGTTGGTTGGAGGTGTACAATGCCAAAGAAAACCTATAGAAAAGCGAAGCTGGTGCGTGTATTCTATACGGGATACAACAGAATTCTTTATGGGGTCCGGGGGGCGGGGGGGTGTTACTTCCTGTTTACATACAAATTTAAAGGTAGAAAGAACGATGACCTTCAACAGCAGAGCTATATGTCGTAAACAGCCATAGTTTCAATTAAATTCAGTTTCAATTTGTCACTTTATGCTAAGTCACTCTGTGCTAAGCTAATTTGTTTTTTCGTTACAGCTATTGTCTTTCTTTGGATGAGGAGAAGTGATAAGGGAACTTTCTCTCAGTGGACACTGTATCATACCTGTTGGTCACGTGCACACTCACCTTAATTTTGTGCACAGACTTTCCTTCCTCCAGACCATGGGTCCACACCGTGGTGGGGCCCTTGTTATAGGTCAGGCTCCAGCCCTCCTCGCACAGACACTCGGCTTTGAAGCTGGCAAACGCCCGGTCGTCCGGGATGTTTACAGACTGTGCGGACATGGCTCGTTACCGGGAGAAGGCAGAGGAAGATGAGGTGGAGGAGGTGAGGAGACTCCTGGTGATGACGCACGGAGACCGGTGGAAGCTGACGGCTCGTAATTCTTCTCCTTCTCTTCTTTCTCTTTCTACGGGAATAACTTGTGTAATTCAATTGTCCCTCTCTGTGAGCTGCTTTTGTGGAGGCTGCTCCAGGTCTTATGATGATTCGTGTGCGCCTCCTTCAACAACCGCAGTCCGGGCTTGCACAAACTAAACACGGAGACAGAGACGAGTGGGTAAACGCTGTGTTGGTATAGCAAAAGTGACAATCTGAATGGATAAAGAGTGCCGTTAAAAAGAAAATAAAGCGGCGAAATGCCTCTTTGAGCTATTTGATCAAGGCGGTGGAATAAGTTTAAGCAAACAGCTGCTCCTCAAACAAACCATATGTTTCAGCTTCTGCTGTTTCTTTTTCTCTCTCTCTGTCTCCCTCCCCTTTCCCTCCCTGCTTACCTTATGTCCGCCTCTCTATTTCCCCCCCTTGTCTCTCGACACGTCTGTTGTTTTGGATGTCTTTCTGCGAATTTACAGTAAATTGCACCGTTTCTCCATCGCTGCGATTCCAATGCTGCAGGTGGTGGAGGAGATGCGGCGAGGTTTCGGAGCCAGAGGAGGAGGAGGAGGAGGAGGGAGAAGCTGAGCTGACAGGAGACGCAGAGGTAGAAACGCCCCTCCCTGTGTTGCCTTCAGGGTCTTTTGGTAAAACTCGCTCTCTCGTTTGTGTTATAAACGTGCGTTTACCCCTGTTTAGGAAACTAAAAGTGACGGTGGTCGTTTGTGTTATAAACGTGCGTTTACCACTGTTTAGGAAACTAAAAGTGACGTTTTTTTTAGTTCATAAATGCACTACGATGTGGCTTTGCACAATAAAACAGAAATACGTGACCTGGCTAATTATAAAGCACTTTCAACTATTGTGTTTATGAAGTACTGTAGGAATAAAATCACGAGAAGAAATACTCCAGACATTAGTGTCTGTCAGACAAGATATACGTATCTCAGAAAATACTTTTTTTAATTGCTGCTGGCACGTCGTACGGATATTTTTCTGAACTGAAATGAGTGGAGTGATTTAGTAGTGAGCACCAAGCTACCGTGTCTAACCCGGAGTTTCATTCAACGCATCTGTACGTCCTGCACTGACCAAAGACCGTAATATTCAACGTGAGTGGACAAAAAGGGTTTCAGACTCACAGCTCCTTTGAGTTTTATTTAACTCGGCTGCCATTTGACTTCATTCTTTTAAATCAGCCAGTAATAATGACATTCATATGCTCCCACAGTCCAACCTTCTAGTGCCGTTTTAACGAAGGAGACCAGAAACACGTCATTGAGACCATGCTATCTGATTACGTGGAAATATTAGCTTTAAGCTAAAAGTCGAGAGAGATTTCGACACTTTGTCTGATAAGGTTATTTGATGCTGTGAGGCAGGTGAGAGTGCAACCTGAGCACATGAAGTGAGATGGAACTCAGCTTGCAGACGAATTGTCTACACCGAGAAGAGTGTAGCAAATCAAAATTATTAACATATTAAGCTAAATAAAACTCTAAACTAATATTTTCATCACATTTTTGGAGGAACGATCTACCTTGTTATAGTTGATGCAAGACTGAATGCTAAACAATACACTTCCAATGCTTTTTCCAATGCCAAATGAAGTCAAACTGCATGCTCAAGAAACAGATAACTCCAACTGATTAAAATGGTAAATTCCCACAGTCATTTAACGCAACTATGGCCACCACACTAGGTAGTGAAGTGGTTAGTTCATGGTGCAGGGGCGCGACTGTTTACTGCTGACGTGTAAATTCTCTGTAACTGTCAGGCTCCTATAACGAACTGCTGAAAAACCAAAATGTCGTATATTTTAATCGTCATTTGTTTTCTTTTACTTTCTTTTATTTATTTATTTTTGTTTCGAGTTTATTGCAATGGTCACCACCAATCTTTTCCCAATTGGTTTAATGTTCTACTTTCTTTATTGTTACAAAAATGCCTATAAATAGCTATATAGGTTTGAAAATGTCATTATTTTATTTTCTACTCGTTACTAACGGCGTTACTTTTTTCAGTAACGGGTAATCTAACTAATTACTTTAGCTATCGTTATAACACATTTGATTGAGTAAAAACCGCTGAATTAGAGTATTTCGGGATTACAGAGCAGAAATCCCGGGTGAGGCAGCGGAGAGAAACTGGGTCGCATGACGCGTGCCGGTTTCTGTTCCTCAGCATATCGCCAATATGAACCTTACAGAAATATTTGTTCTACAGCATGACTCTACAGTCTGTGTAATGTCTTTAATGTATGTGTGAGAGAATTGTTCCTGCTAATCTTACAAGAAAGTGCAGAGAAAAGTCAGCAGGGGAGGCAAGCAGTACTGTGCCCCACCACGGGGGGGCGTTTGAACGTCAAAATTAAATTTGTGCTGCGCCCATCTCTATACTTACTACTAATTTGTTTACAGTAAATGAATGAATTGCTCAGACACAAGAAGGGTGCTCTATCCATTTGTATAAAAGAAACGTTCTTTGTAGGACAAATTAATTTACACTAGCGAGTTTAAAGCACTTTGTGCAAAAGAGCATAAGAGAAACTCCACAGACCTACTTCTTTAGGATTTCAAACCTTCGGTTCAGAACTCGGTCTCCATTCATGGCTTTCGTTTTCACCATGATATTTTGAGATCTGAATCCATTTCAGAGTCACTGAATTAATAAATGTTTGAGGTAGAACATAGTAGATGGGTACACAGTGAAAAAAAGATGTAACTGTTAAGCCCACATTGTTAAACTGTTTACTTTATACTTGAAGTACAGTATGTCCACCAGTTGTCTTTGCTTTTCTACTCTACATTTTTAAACTAAAAAAAAAAAAAATTAACGCAATTGTCACTTTCACTGGTAACTAGTTACTTCTATAGTGGAGTAACTCAATCACTAAAGTAACTAGTAACTATAACGAAGTACTTTTTCAAAGTAACGTGCCCGTCACTGCTTGTGATGTATAATGACAAGAGATGTTGCATCAGGGCATTCCGACTGAATCGTGAGTTTCAGGGATCAGAGAAAAGTCATCTTGAGCGGAACATGATGTCAGTTTCCTGAAATATGATGCCTTTTATGGTAAAAAAAGACATAATTGTATTGTAACATTTGCACCTTCCATTAGGGGGCTCTAGAGGCGCTGTTGTTTAAAATCTGGTAGTCAAACTGTTTCGGTAGTACAATGCTTGAATTTGTAAATCTCAGTAGTTATTCATGGAAATAAAATATCTTTGTGTTCAAATTAAAAGGGTTTAAAATCTGGAATAAAGCAGAAACAAACAAACAATGAATCAATTTATTCAATTCTAATTATTATCTTGCTACGAGAACATACTTGCCAGAACAACACAGACGGTGGAATTAGAACTTAAATAAATAAGGTTCTGAATCAGTTAGGTCTAAACATATCCGCCGGCAAACACGAATGAAGTAATTTCATGGTAGGAGGTCAACAAAATCCAATCTATGGCAACAATTCTAGAAAAGGTGCCGGTGGATTGATGATGGCAGTGTACGCTGTCATTTATGATTCATGGATTGTGAGACACAGTGAGACTGCTGCCAGCACGCAACATGTCCACATCGTAAATTACACCATGTCACCCCCTGGGAGGCCCATTCTTTTTTATTGGCTGTAGCTCAAGGTTTTACTAAATGACATTTTCACCAAACCTGCTACTCTATATCTAACAAGCAAGGGCCATTTCAAAATGTTTCCACATTTAAAAACATTTCAAATGTCACTCTCTATTTTTTTTTTAATTCTACACATGTAGGAGGAAAATGGCTTGGAGCCAGTGAGCCCTGCAGGATCAGGGGACCATCGACATTTAGGTTTAACGCAACTCTGAAAACGTAGTCCTATTAGAATATGTAACATTGAAGCACATTTATTTTTATTCTTCAATTTAGACTTCGATTTAAGGTACTGTCTCATGTTTGCAGGAAAGCCTGCCTTTGTGTTCATACAGAGGGTTTTTTTTTTTCCTTAGTGGTACAACGGGAACTTATCGTGCGTGGTCTGTTGTGGTTTTTCATAATGACTAATCTTATTTGCTTTGCCATTTCCCCTTTTTCTTGCTGTGATCATACGAAAAAAGGAAATATCTAGATTATAAGATGAGTGAGGCGCTGTACTTCATCAACAGCTTGAGCTCAACAGTTTCACAACGTCTCAGGGGGTCAACATTTAAATGTGGCATTCAACAGGAAATTCAAGTCAAACCATTAGTATCGCCTGCTGAATGTCGCTAAAGTTGTTTTAAATAAAAAAAAAAGAAATAATATTAATTAATTGTATGTTGAAATGAAGGTTTCAAATAAAATGTTGTCTATTTTTTTTTTCAATTGTATGTTGAAATGAAGGTTTCAAACAAAATCTTTTTTTTTTCACCCTACTGTTACCTGTTTCTATCCTGCCCATTTCGGCACCCTGCAATGTCTTCCTGCCAGCAGATGGAGAAAAAAAATGCCATCTATTAAAAATGCATAACTGAGAAGAGAGGGAAGAGAATAATTGATGCCTATTTAAAGCATTATAATTGAAAAATGATGAATAATATACAGCAGCTAAATTTGACCTAAACATTTACAGCAGTGGTGCCAAAGATCATACTAAACGAAACCGGGTCAATCTCTTTCATGGCTACTGGTGTAGAGTATGGTAGAACTGTCAAAGAGAGAAAAAATAAGAAATAATATTCCTAAGGGTAAGTATATGTAGCAGGAAGAGTCTTTGTATTGTAAAGTTTTAAAGCTGGGTTTTTGGATATAATATATACAAATGTATATACGTTTCTAATGATTTCTATAATTTTGGCATCGACTTTAAACTCACTCTAACATTGAGGTATAGAAATAATCATATGTAACACTAACATGAATAATTTGTTGGTCAATACCAAGCAGACGGGCGCCATCTGGTGGCCATAGATACCTTTCAAGAACCGAGTCTTCAGACAACGAGAAAATACATTCCTACATTTATTCATCATCTGTTCCCTGGAGACCAAGATCATCCAATAAAATGTGGCTAAATTATTTAACGCAAACATTTTTTAGACTTCCAATTAACTTCTAACATTACTATTACTAAGTACTTCTAATAGTAGGACTACTACTAACAATAATAATTTAGTCATGCTTTTTGCTTAAGGGCGTTATTTGTTCCTACAAAGGTATCTGTGAAGTCAAACACAAACAGATCGTGTTGCGTTGCTTTGCTTGATTAAAACATTACACTGAAACGCTTTCAACTTGGTTTCAAACGGAAGTGACGTCACTGACTCGCGCCACTTCCCACGAGGCCAATGGAACGCAGAAACGGGAATGGAAGCGATCGATAAACGACATTTCCCGGCATGCTCTTCGGGTCCTGGTGACATCCTTGGTGCATGAGGTGTTGTGTTTTCGTTCAGCTCATGTTTATAGAAATGTACGACTGACTTTAGAGGAACAGACTGAAATAAGCGGAGCCTTGGATATCGTTTCACCCCCAGCTTTGATGTCAGACTGAAGAATCGCCCACCGGTTATATTTTCGGTGAGTTAAGTGCCATGTTATCATCTGTACCCACCAGGCTTCTTGCGCGAAGGTCGCGCAGCCTGTCACCGTGTAGTCGCGTTCTCCAGACCAGCACAGGCGGCGCCAACTGTCAGAGCATCCGAGAGTCACCTGCGCAAAATAACCGCAACCCCCTGGTGTCCACCTCCCGGGTTTCCAGGAGGGGGATTTTGGCCGAGGAGGCAGCTGGAACCAGTGTCAATCCGTCGGTGCAGTATCATCACCTCGCCCCTAGATGGCTGTCCAGTTTGGAGAACCGCCGGAACTCATGGGCAGCTCTAGCCAGCAGGGGTCGCCACAACAATCGTTACTGGGAGGAGAGCGGCCGCGGCGAGAAAGGGGAAGGCCAGGAAACAGGTGGAGGAGCCAGACCGTTTGGAGCAGCCTCTGCCGGTGTGCTTTCTGCCGCAGCTGTGGCCTTTTGTTTAAGGAAAGAGTCGGATAAGAAAGGTAATATTTTTTAAAAACATTTCAAATGTCACTCTCTATTTTTTTTTTAATTCTACACATGTATCCGAGAGTCACCTGCGCAAAATAACCGCAACCCCCTGGTGTCCACCTCCCGGGTTTCCAGGAGGGGGATTTTGGCCGAGGAGGCAGCTGGAACCAGTGTCAATCCGTCGGTGCAGTATCATCACCTCGCCCCTAGATGGCTGTCCAGTTTGGAGAACCGCCGGAACTCATGGGCAGCTCTAGCCAGCAGGGGTCGCCACAACAATCGTTACTGGGAGGAGAGCGGCCGCGGCGAGAAAGGGGAAGGCCAGGAAACAGGTGGAGGAGCCAGACCGTTTGGAGCAGCCTCTGCCGGTGTGCTTTCTGCCGCAGCTGTGGCCTTTTGTTTAAGGAAAGAGTCGGATAAGAAAGGTAATATTTAATTTGTAACGTATTCACTTAGTTGCCGCTCACCACAAAGCCCACAAGAAAATATATAACTCAAACGTTGTACACGTAATTTTGAAATGTTTTACTAAACATTTTGTGAAACATTGTCCATATTTTCTCTTTCAAGGCGAGAATCTTCTGGAAGCAGCCAGGACGAACAATATTGAAGATGTGACCAGGTAGCACACAGGCTAGGGCTTCTATTAACAATGAGCAGTTTTACACATTGAAAACTGTCGGTGTAGAATACAGGATATATGTTTGTATAAGTATAAGTATGCATGTGAATATGTATACTGATAGATAGATATGTATGTAGCTAGATAGACATGTAGCTAGATAGATATGTAGCTAGATAGATAGACATGTAGCTAGATAGATATGTAGCTAGATAGATAGACATGTAGCTAGATAGATATGTAGCTAGATAGATAGACATGTAGCTAGATAGATATGTAGCTAGATAGATAGACATGTAGCTAGATAGATATGTAGCTAGATAGATAGACATGTAGCTAGATAGATATGTAGCTACATAAATAGATGTCTACATAGATAGATGTCTAGATAGAGAGATATAACTTTATTTATCCCTCAGGAGTTAAGATATATATATATATATATATATCATAGAAATCAGTGTAAAATGGATAAATGGATTTTGCGTCCATAGTCTTACACTTAACCAATGAAAATAATTAGATCTAACAAAAAAAGATAAACACATCTGAATAAAAGCCAACTGCTTTTCGTTGATCCAAATAAGTAGCAATTTTTCCACTTACCTTAGCTTTTTTTTATTGCTTCCGTGTTTTCACTTTGTTCACATTGGTGTTCTCACTATTTTTTCCACTAGATTTTTTAGGTCCCATGGTGATTTATGAAGTAATAAATTATTATTATAGACGGAAAACGTTGTTGGGTAGGAGATGACCTGTTGTACTCCTCAAAGTAACCACCAGGTGGAAGGAAGGGTCCATTAGTTGCACGTGTTTTATATGTCAGCTGCTAGTCTGTGTGATGGAGAAAAAGAAAAGAAAACCACGTTACCAGTCTCGCTGAGTCTATCACAAATCGCAGTATAGAATAAATAATAGAAATTCACACCCAGAGGCCTGACAATAGCTTGAACACGATCAACAGTTATAATAAAATCAAATTAAACATCCAATATGCCATGTCGGATAATAAGAAAAAGTTACAGTACACACACTCTCATCACGACTCTTAGTCTGCTTTCCTATAAATAAAGCTGTGTATCATTGGATATTAACGCTGATTATTGTCAACCTCTATATATTTTTTGTGGTATTTTAAAGGGGCCTTTTGTGCACTTGTGTTGTCGGATTTTCTCCACCTCAAGCCGTGTACTGGAGTGTGTGCATACACGTGTTTTGTCCGTGTGTGTTCTTCAATTGCGGTCTTGGGTTACCTGGACCTTTGTGGCAGATGGTGTAGGTGAGAGTGCAGAGGCAGACAGTCAGCAGGTCACAGATGTGTTAAGTGCTTTGCTTGGCTTCGTCAGATGTGTCTGCTCAGATGTGACTGAGGAAAGAGAGGTTCTGTGTTTTTTATATAATGACATTATACATTTTACAAATTTTACATTTTACAAAATTAAATTCCGGTATTAATCAGGAATGTGCAAAGGTCAGATTTTTTTTCTTTTTTTTTTCCATCAGAAGGAGTTGAGGCAGCAGGAGTCTTGTAGCTTAACTGCCCTACGAGGAGTTTTTATGAAGCCGTAGTTGTGAACCGTTGCCTCTGATCAAACTCTGATACAGCAGGCAGTGAAAACAGAGCTGAGTGCAGACCAGACAGAGGCCACAGTGTTGACTGTAAACACTCACACTGTCTGCCTGATCAGCACCAGGGACGGAGATCGGATCACTTACTCTGTCTCACATACACACACAAACACACACACACACACATACACACATATTCTACTACAGACCGTGCTGCAACACTACCTGATGTGAAACCCTAGGGGTTAGAACTTAACACACACCTGGCGTTACACCACCAACACTAAATGGCCAATGAACAAGTGTCACCCCTTTTTATGAAGACAATAATGTTGTGAAGCCTGGGTTCAAAAATAGAATGCTTTGGATTTTAAAGAAAAAAATAATAATCCAGACATGGAATTTCTCCATGTTGTATAGTAAACCAAAAAGTGACCTATTTATATTTTAAATTGAAGATGTTATCACTAGCAAAACACATTATAGCTGATTACAGCATAGCACCGTCCATTTCTTATATACAGAATTCAAGCATTTTTTGAGTTACATTTCTAAAGAAAAAAAAAATTAAATTATAGTAATTTTCCGATTGCAGGATGCTTAAGGAAGGCGTGGATCCAAACATTCGCCATCGTCTTGGTTGGACTGCGCTGATGGAGGCGGCCATGAACCGACGGCATGGGTCTGTTTTACACACACACACACAGAGAGAGAGAGTCAAACTTCTAAAATCAACCCTGTGTTCTTCACCTCTGAGACCTAGACTTAAATGAGCATATGTTAAAACAGTAACACAGTGTACTGGAGTCATGCAGCTGTCTGCATCACTGAGCTTTTCGAACATATGTCATGTGTGCCCCTCCCACTCTCCTCGTTACAGTAGTTTCCTCAGACGTGCAAAGTGTGACTTTCAGACCGACAGACGGTCTTTACCCCATTCCCCCATCTCTGTGTCCCGACAAATTAAATTAGCCTCCTGGCCCCCAGAACACACAAGGCAGAGAGGGGCCGAGGTTAAGGCCGGGCCAAATCCAATTTAGAAGCTGTGTGTTTTTTTTTTTTTTACATCCATTAGGACTTAAGTCACTTTTTTTTTTGTCCAAGGGCCTCACGGGTGCGTGAGAAGTGAAAGATGAGATTTAAATATTATAATGGTTTAAAAAAATGAGCTGAATCTAAATGTGAGTTAATTCAAATAATTGGAGAAGTTATAAATAGAGTTAATTCAAATAATTGGAGAAGTTACAAATAAATCAATCAATCATTCAGACAAATGGATGGTTGGTTTTTAGTCACCGAAAGAGGAGATTGGTAAAGTTTATCTGTGTTCAATTTGGATGAAAGAAATAGCTGCTGTTTGGTCATTGTTACTCATATTTTTCTGCTTATGCTTTTCGTTATCAATACTTTTATTATTGTTGGCTGTTATTGACTTTGACGACCATTTTGTAAAACATTGAACACAAGGGGAGTGGTGTGTGTTGGAATAGTTTGGATTATCTATTTTTTTTTTTTTTTTAACAATTAAACTTTGACTTGACTCTTTGCAGGGACGTTTATTTTGACAAAACACACGAGGACAATTTGTTCATTTGGGGACATTTCGCTGGACGCCACTGAGTGAGACTTTCAGTGTATGTGTGTGTGTGTGTGTATCTGCGTGTGTGTGCGTTATGAGTGCTATAACTCAGCGAGGCAGTGACACTCCTGTGTTTAATCCTGTCTTCCAACCCCCCGATGAGCCGTCACTGCTGTAGGGGAAGACAGACCATCGCTTCACACACTTCCCTTACACACACACACACACACACACACTTTGTTTCACTTTTTAGGTATTTACACAAGTGAGAATGTGTCTCTCTGTGTGTGTGTGGATTCATGCATAAAGAATTACCCGTACAGACAGACAGGGGGAAGTTCATACTAAATATCTTCTGGGCCGACTGTCTATTACTCAGTCGCACGCAACTTTATTTGCAGCCGATAAGTGAAAACACAGGGAGCATCACTCACCAGGAAGGTGTAGCTCCGAGCTACAGTGTCGGCATAGATGTTATTGGTGAGTTATTTCACTGCTCCCTCACTGTGTATTTGTAGTTCGCTGGTCCAGAAGTGATAACCAAGGTTCAAGAGACTTAATTCATCAACACCGTGTCGCTTTAGTGTCTCTTTCCTTTGACCGGACCCAGGGAAGTTGGAGATGCTGGCCATATGAGAAAATCTGGGTTAGCGTCAAGGAGGGAGGGGGTAAGAGTTAAGGGTGAGACGTGTGGGGGGGGGTGGTATTTTCGTAGCTTTGATGTGCGGCTACGTCGGGGAGGCCAAGGGCTTTGACCAGTGTTTGCGCTCTTTAACACACGACAACCCTTCTCCATCTCTCTTTCTCTTTCTCTCCCTCCATTCTTCCCTTGCTGCGTTCACGTGCACAATGAGCACTCAGCCAAGTGAAACGCCTGTTGACCGTTCCGACCTGTCGGCTGAGCGATTTGATAGGGAGGGTTGGGTACAGCAGCGAGGGACAGAGGGAAGGAGAAGGACGAAACGGTTGAGTGGGATTATAGGTGTGGGCTCGACTCGTGTAATAACGCAATGACTTTATACGCATCATAACTATCATTACAAACAAGTATGTTTTTTTTTTTTTTTTTTTTTTTCAAATTTACAAATCGATTTATATTAGCCGCTAAATATATACTGTATATATAAAAAATCAAGTTCCGCCCTTTGCAGATGTTGTATCATTTCTCAACGTCATTGTCTTTCCTCGGCATCTGCCTGACCCCAGGTGTGGACCAGGTCAAGTGAGGTGCAGTGTCTGGGCCAGGTGGTCAGAGACATGGATGGTCAGTTCAGCTCAGGTGTCTTTTATAGCACAGCAGAGACGGAAGTGTCTGTTTCCTGCCTTCCCTCCGGGGCAGGATGGGGAAACTTACACCAGTCGCCTGCTGGTAAATCTTCAACCCTGGGCATCAGATGTGTAAATGAATGTATGGCCATAATAAGTCGGACTTTTAATGGTGCAGGAGCAAAGTGAGGAGGGAACTTGAAGTAAAAAAAAAAAAGTCCAGTTGGATGTTGTGGACACAAAGGTTTATTTAATTTTGAATTCTAATTTTTTTTTTCCTTAATATCAAGGATTCTCTAATTTGGCCTTTTCTAAAAATGAGCATTGAACCTAATAAACCTCTACTGGCCTTAGGTTGAACACCAAATTAGTGCTGGAACCTTCCTCCTGAATGTCCTGAATAAAGTTAGTCACTTGATCAGCAGTTAATTAGCAAAACAATCAAGTGTTTTTAAAAGCTCATTAGTTTTGGCAGCGTCCGGACTAATTAAATCTCTCTTCTTTCATCTACGGTTTGTTCCTCCCTCCTTTCATCTGCTCCTCCTTCACGTCGTCCTCCTCCACCACCAGCTCCTTTGCAGTTCTCCTCTGTTTTATCCCTCCATGTTTACCTTTCTGATGCCATTAACCCCACACACACAGCTCTGCCCAGCCTCGTGTGACCAGCCATAGTCTGAGTTGGTCTGTATGCGTGTCTCAGAGGATGCGTGTTTACAGAAGTGCTTGCAGGGATGAGAGGAGAGCCCTCTTCGGGTCACCCCAGTGGCCTCCCTTGATGCCCTCGGTCACAGTAATACAGTAACAAAAAAAAACAAAGGGGCCCCCCCCCCCCCTCGACCCCTCTTCGTTCTTTGATATCAGTGGGCAAGGTCAGAAACAACTGTTCTCAGCCTCGTTCGCCCACAGGAAGCTGCGTCCTCTGACCAAGTCGAGCCCAGTTCTCCTTTAATTTTTTACTAATACTAGAAGTTGTTTGACACGTTTCAGCCAAGGTTCATTTTTTTCCCATGCCCCTGAAGGGTGAGATAAAGGCTGTTTTGTGAAGGTTTTTTTTTTTTTTTCATATTCATATACATCAAACAGCTGACAATTTCAGACCATTTAAGATTGTCATAGTCTAGTACTTCTCAAATAGTAGGGCTTACATTACATAAAAGTACATTGGAGAGATATCATAATCCCAATTTGTGTATATTTTAAGAAGTAGAGCCAGGTCAGGGTTCAAATACATTGAAAACAAAACAAAACGCAACTAATTACATACGTAATGAATAGGGATGCAGCGATTATTCAGTCGACGAAAATGTCCTTTTATCACCAAAACAAAACGGCTAAACAGGAAGTTAGGATGACGCAAGCAGAAAGCGCCGCCGTCTGGACGTATTTCAATATATCTGAGAATGACCCAAGGATAGCGATTTGCAAAACGTGTAATGCTGAAATTTTAAGAGGTCGTGCAAACAAATCCAAACGGCCCGATCGCTATGCTGAATATGAGAGGAAGGAAAAGCCTGTATGCAGCAGAAGCTAGTCTTTGCTGCATACAGCGCAGACCAGGAGTTCCCCCTCGACATTCACTTCTTGCCCCGTTTGAGCAGCTAACTAAAGAGACCAGCTCCTCAGATGCAACTGTAGCTAAAAGCGTCTTCTAAGCAAAGAGGTTGCGATGGACTACGGAGTGACTACTTTTGGTGTTTTGGTTTTCGGCCTCGGTTTCCTCATTTTTGGTTTTCGGTCGCAATTCCTAGTGATTATTATTTACCAGAGGTGAGACCAAGTCATTGCTTTGCAAGTCACAAGCAAGTCTCAAGTCTTTGCACTCAAGTCCGAATCAAGTCTCAAGTCAAAATAGGCAAAGTCCGAGTCGAATCCAAGTCAAGACTGAAAAGTGTCAAGTCAAGTCCCAAGTCCTGCCGTTTCTGTTTCGAGTCCTTTCAAGTCCTTCCACTCACTGCCACTCGTTTTTTTTGTTGACCATATCGTAGTTTTTAAATCCGAACTACACGATCGTTGGTATCATTTTCTCTAACCCGCGCATTGTTCGACAGCTCTTTCTCATTGGTTGGCCCGCAATTTGATTGGCTCGATATTATCGCGTCAAAACAACGTGGGTCTAATTTGATTGGATGTTGTGCCGACAGCACGTACAATGAGAGATACAGAGAGCGCTCCTCAATAACTTACTTTATAATCTTTGGGTTTTGGAGAAAGTCTTGAGTCTTGTCGAGTCAAAGGGGCTCGAGTCCAAGTGAAGTCACGAGTCATTGATGTTAAAAGTCCAAGTCGAGTTCCAAGTCTCTTTACGTTTTGTCAAGTCGAGTCTAAAGTCATCAAATCATCAATCAAGTCAGACCTCGAGTCTGACTTGAGTCCAAGTCATGAGACTCGAGTCCACACCTCTGTTATTTACCTCCTGTTGTAATGAGGGCTGTTTATTCAAAATGAATATTTCCATTCACAGATTCAAACAGTCTGTGTCTATCCATCCTCACCTTAATATTTTGGATGACGTTTTCCAGTCTAACTTTTTTTTTTTGCTCTTGGTCCATTATCAAAGTACTTTTGTTTGATAAATCTGGCCTTCATCTCCTCATGACCATTACAGTACCATGTGTTTCTTTTCTATTTTTTTTTTTTTTTTAGGTCCTGTGACAGGTATTTTATGTGCTTCTGTTTCTTCCTCTTTTGAATTGATAGTCAGACTGCATCAATGGCAGGCAGCAGAAGACTGGCAGGGTTCATGTTTCGGCCATCACCCCTGTTTTCTCTCCTTGCCGGTCTGCACGGCCCACCTAACTAGCTTTTGTGTGCACGTCTGTGTTACAATGTCAATGCCATTGCTCATGATCACGGTTCGTGTGCGTGACGTTCATGTGTGTGTGTGTGTGCGTGTTGTGCAGACAAAGAGACGGTACCTGGAATGTCCAATGGGTCACAGTTAGTGGTGTTGCCGAGGTTCTTGTGTTTGTTCTATAAGGCTGTACGCTCCAATGAAGGGCTGCATTCAGACTCCTGCTACAGCACACAGACCCCCCCCCCAGACCCCCCCGTCCAACTATACCGGAAACAGGCCCGACTTTTGGCTCTTCAGTGACTACGCGTATGTGCCGAAAAGTGAATGAGTGTGTGGCGAAGCAGAGAGTTTGAAAAAACGAAGTGGTGGTCATTCACAAACGGGATATTTCCTTTTTACGGACTATATCAGATATACTTTAGATATACAGATATACATTTTATTTTTGTGGTATTTGAACTGAGTCTGATGTTTAAGTATGTAAACTCTTTGTCTACTGTGTCACTCCCGCCCGTTCCCTGCAGGGTGTGCTGTAAACGCGTTCTGTTCCGTTAATAAAGTTGACCCAACATTAATGTTTGATATAAGAAACGCACAACTTTAAGGCGTGGTATTAAAGTAGTAGGAAAAAGAAATATTCACCCAATGACCAAGTCGTTGACTAGGGCTGCGCGATTGATCGGAATTTGACTTTGATTACAATTCTAGCTTCTCACAGTTCAAACAGATCAATCGAAATAAAGCCATTATTTTTGCCTTTGGCCCTGCTTGTTTGTGGCTGTCGTTCTGTGATGTTAATGCACTCTGCCCCGCCCCCGAAAACAAACAATAGCTGTTTCCGGAATCAATCACTCACTCATTCCCTACTCCCTGTTTCCTACATAGGGTCTCAGACACTACTTGGGTGGACAGTACTTACGTCATTACAACTCGTCACAACTGCAATGCATGATGGGATATATTGCTTGAGTAGTTTACACTAGATTTTGCAGTCCTTTTAGGATGCATGGAGTGCACTGTAGTGGACAACTTCTGCTTGTGTGGACCCGCAACGGGCTCATTTGACCATAAGGAATAAAATTGAAGTAAAAAAAAACAGTAGATCAACATTTATAAAAAAAAAAAAGAAAAGAAATGTTAGGTAGACACACTTGATATACCTATCAGGTTTAACGAGGGTTTGAAATCGTCAGTTTCTATACGGCTCATTTGACCATAAGGAATAAAATTAAAGTAAAAAAAAAAAGAAAACAGTATATCAACATTTATATATATATATAAAAAGAAATGTTAGCTAGACCCACTTGATATACCTATCAGGTTTAACTAGGGTTTGAAATCATCGGTTTCTATAGTATGTCGAGCAAGCAATACAACTAAAAAGTGCAGCCCACTGCTCCTGTGTGTCCAGTCAGATTCAGCGTTTCATGGATGGGTTTCACTCACGGCAGTGAAACTGCGCTGCCATTGTTGAATAAAATTGTTGAGTTTCTAAGGAATTACACTTTTGAAGGAAATTATAATAATGTTTTTCTTAAATAAACACAAACACAATAAAATAAGGTGACTAGTGATCGAAACATTTCCTTCTTTTGCATAATTCCGGATAACGTTATTATGCCTTTTAATCTTTATATTTCCTTTTTTTTTTTTTTTTTTTCCTTCAGTGTGATCAAGGCTCTTCTGGAAGCCGGTGCTGATCCAAATGCTGGCGATCAATTCAACAATGTTTACGACACATCACGAGAGAAAGGCATCCACTCCCTGGAAGGTAAAAAAAAAAACAACTGTTATTTGCATATGTGCGTGTGTGTGTACAGTTCATATATTACACACATGAATCCTAACTGTTAGACAAGACATTACGAGGCATTATAATTTGCATAAAAATTTGCATATGTGTTCACTTATGGTTTCTTCTTTGTTTTACATGTTAAATGGGGTTTTTTTTTTTTTTTTTTTTTTTTTTTTTTTTTTTTTTTTTTTTATCCCCGTCCCTTTTGTACTGCACAAACACTCACTACGCACGCACAGACCCCTCCCTCAGTCTGTGTTGGGTTTCTGCAGACATATTTATATGGGATATGTATATTGCAGACATTTATATGGCTGTCAGGTTTGGGTCCACGTGGGGCCAGCGTAGCGTGGGGAAGCGTTTCCCAGACGCACACTGATGGATGGGCTGGGGGGGCCTGTGCGACGCTTTATTGGGTTAGCTATGATTATCCAGCCCTGTCTCTCTCTCTCTCTCTCTCGCGCGCACACACACAGCAGAAAGAGACCGTCAAAGCAGCAGAAAAAGAGTAGAATGCAGGGAGGGAGAGAGAGACTGATGAAACAAGGAAGAAAAGGGGGAAAAAAAAACACAAAAAAAACCAGAGGATCATTGAAAGATAAAACGGGATAGGAAGAAGGACCGGAGAGAGGATGCACCAGTGAAATGTCAAAGATGGAGGAGAAGACAGGAGATGAAGATGTTAGGAGTGGTGTTAGCAGGGGAAAATGATTGGAGGAAATGGGTTGCATGATGGGAATGAGAGGGAGGGAGAGACAGCAGAGAGGAGGAGAGGATAGGAAGTCAGGAAATGGATGAGACAAAGTTATTGGGGAAAGAGGGAGGGGTGAGAAGGAGGGATGAAGATGGTGCAAGTGATGAAAGGGATTGATGGATGCTGCGGAGAAGAGGAAGGAGGCGGGGGGAAAAAAAAGGAAATAAAAGCAACAACGAAGGAGTGGCACAAAATGAGTGCTCTTATGAAAAACACATGGAGAGAACGACAGGCTGTGATTATTATTATTATTATTAGGAAAGAGGCCGAAATACACAACTCCCATTATTCTGGTCATGTTGGAAAGTTGAACATGTGACTGTGAACAAAAACACAACTGTGATGTACAGTATATATCCACTGGGGCTTTGTCAGTGAATAAAAAAGTAAAAAAAAAAATTAAAAAAAAGAATATATTGAAGCTATGAGTTAAAAAAAATCATGTGATAGTTAATTAACTGTTTTATTAATTAAAAATAATAATAATAATGAAAATAATATTTTTTCTCCTTATGAGTTCTTTCTGTAGGGAAGTTTCTACAATGAATTTCAAATTAACACCAGCCGACCTCATAAGCTGAAGTCACAGTTAGTTTGTCTGTTTTGATGTCTGACGTCCCGCACCTCTGTCCCCCCCCTCGCGCAGTTCACGTGTCAAGAGAGGACGAGTTCAGCAACAGGCTCAGCAGCCGGGCTGGTTTCCGTGGTTGCACCGCGCTACACTACGCCACGCTGGCAGATGACCTGCTCAGTGTCCGCATGCTGCTGGAGGCTGGTAAGTCGCAGCTGAACCAACCTTCAAATTGAGGACAAAATGTCCCATCAGGAAGAAAGAAAAAATGCAAATTGGAAATGTATGCTGTATACTTGCGAACGCTTGATGCATTCAGTTCTAGCTCCAGTTGGACTGACAAATCGTCGTCGTCTGCGATGCTTGATTATTTTGTTCAATATGGATCACGACGAAGTTGCATTTATCTTTATATTTCAGAAAATGAAAAGCCTGTTTTTTTTTTTTACATTTTAATTGAAGTATAATTACATAATATTTTTGTAATTCCAGCATCAAAGGGAGCAGATGTACCTGACTCATTATACTAAACCTTATTGCACTCCGAGGCTTAAACGCTACGGGCAACAACGTGGCTCTCAGCCCTCCAAAAAAAGCTCTCCATGTATCATCATCCTAACACTTCCACCCCTGAGTAATAGAAACAGTATTACAAAGCTCATTTGAAATTGATCATTTGTTTACCCCCCCCGCCCCCCCTCTCTCTCTCTTCACCCCCCCCCCCCTTGATCATTTGTTTCCCCCCCCCGCCCCCCTTATCTCTCTGTTCCCCCCCCCCCACTGCATTTGCACCTGTCATTGACTCAGCGCTATACACTCACACACATCTCAGACCCCCCCGAGGGCAGTGTATCCCCCCCTCAGTTTGCAGGCGGGTGGCTCTTAAACAAGCTATGCTCTAGTTGAACTATGACCTGTGCACAAAAAATGCCCCGGGCCTGACTCCGCGCACGCTCACAGGATGTGTGTGTGTGCGTCTCATTGTGAGTTTCTATACACACTGTTTCAGTCAGAAAAGAAAAAAAAAACCCAACAACAAAATATTCATTTATTCATGTTTGCCTTTATCTGTTGTGTTTGCTTGAGTTTGTACACCCTGCTTGAACTTGATCTCCCCTGACATTTTTAGTTGCTTTTTAGGCTGATGGGCTTTTAATCTAAAAACACTTTTGGATCAAATAACCCAAGCACTCCCACCGTCCACGCACACACACACAGAGGCCAGTAATAACGTCTTGTTTATGTTTATGATGGATTGGTCCATCCATTTCTTCGGTGTCTGTCCGTCTCACCCCTTGCGCCGTAAGCACTCTGTACGCTTAAACAAATCACCCTCGTCTAACTCGATCTCAGTGTCCCGCCGACGCATTTTTTTGAATTAAAAGGTACGAAATTTCACAAAGCAGAGACATTCGTTTTTTTTAAGGACAATCCGATTTAAAGATGCCCGTCGCTTGTTACTCGTTCGACTGGACGCCTGCTGCCCCCGGCGCCGCCATCGCGAGCAATCACAATCATGACGTCATGGACTTTCAATTACGGACACGTCGAGAAGTGCGCGTGTTTCGTGGAACATTCCGGCCCTGCGCCAAGTCTCGGATGGCAATTGGGGGAAAACTTTTTTGCGTAATGATTGGTGTTTTTTCCGAGTCCGATATTGCGCGTGTCGCGTGAACCGCGTTGGTCTTTGTTCGTCTTCGGCCTGCTATCCATCACTCTGTGAACGTCATCACCAAAAACCTTATGAACTGCCACAGCTCCGGGACATTTGTGTGCATTTGGATGTGTGTGCGAGCCGTCTTCCTCTCATCAATGTGTGTGTGTTGTTGTATGGTAACTTCTGTGCGTGCCGTCTTCCTCTCATCAATGTGTGTGTGTGTGTTTTGTTGGTCGTTGTATGGTAACTTCTGTGTCTGTCTTTACCTTGTTATTTCCCTTGTGCTTGTGTGCCGTCCACATTACTCTACTAGCTGCGGGTTTTGCTCTTTTGGCCTTAGCCGGCCCTGCGCACACATCTCCATCCATCACAGTCTCCAGGCCCACCCTCAGGCTTCTGCTCTGCCCTCAGTCCGTCTCTCTCTCCCTCTCTCTCTCTCTCTACCTGACACACACATGCTCACAGACGCGCACAATACAGATACAAGGACGGACACACGCACGCACACGGACAAAGAGCAGCAGGGTCTCTCTCTCTCTCCCACCAGCTGCAGTGAAAGAAGAGGAGGAGGAAATGGGAAAGAGGAGGGGACTCCTAATAGGCATAACTAAAGCACTGTTAATGAAGGGATCCCCTGTGTGTGTGTGCGTGCGCGTGTGTGTGTGTGTCCTTTCTGTCTGTCTGACTGTTGATCCTGTTATAAAGTGCTATGGCCCAGAGGGTTGGCCTGATATTAAAGCCCTAAATGATGCAATTTATTATGTTGCGTGTGTGTGTGTGTGTGTTTAGGTACTTTATTGCTTTCTCTTCCCCATGTTTTTGGTGGACGGGGAGGGGTTGGCAGAGTATTGTTGTTGGAATCGATAGCTTTGTGAGCAGGTCACAAAATTTAGGGCTTTATCGATAATCACCGCGGTTTATTATTTGTCTCTGCGGTCACTGCGAGGAACAGACAGGGGCGACAGCTGCTTCTGTACGAAAAATATA